TAGCTTCCGAGAGCTGATGAGATCAGGTTGGTCTGGCCCATCCGCGTCAAGGCAAGAGAAGTTCAGAGGTGGTTCGCCATTGCCTGCCTCTGTATAGCAACCCTCAACTTCGTTGGTGGTCCTCCATCCAAGTGCCAATCAGGGCCGACCCTGCTTAGCTTCCAACAGCTGATGAGATCGGGCCAGCCTGGGCCGTCTTCTTAATAGCATCTCCCCTATTTGTGGTTGGCTGCTGCAATCCTAGAGGACCGTGCTCTAACAAACACCGCTGCCTGCACTGCACACTGCCACAGTATGTGCCTTTTGTTCCAGAGTTCCTGAGAATCTTCGCTGTCAGTAAAACAAATCATGGTTCTAGTCCTTATGGCCAGAAACATAGACTGAGAGTAAGGGGGTGGGGGAGGGAGAGGGAGAAAATAGGTTTCCTTTTCAGAAATGCGTAGGGATCTGTAGAATCCATCTTTGTTTGGCTCTGAACTTCTTTAGGGCCTTCAATGTCCTGCTAACGCTGGTGCATCTGCTCTCGTTCAGGGTTCCACTTAAACAAGCAGACGACCATGGCGCTCGTGCAGATGTATGCCAACCCCTGGCTTCAGATCGACTTTGACGACTTTGTCTCCCTCATGGTCCATCTGGGAGCCGCCTTCCGTAAGAGACATCTCCGTTCTATTATTAGTGTTACGTAAGAACAATAAGAGATGCCAATGTTGGATCAGGCCAATGGCCCCTCCAGTCCAACACTCCGTGTCACACAGTGGCCAAAACCCAGGGGCCATCAGGAGGTCCACCAATGAGGCCAGAACTTCAGAAGCCCTCCCACTGTGGCCCCCCAAGCACCAAGAAGACAAAGCATCCCTGCCCCAGACAGTTCCACCTGTAAAGGTAAAGGTAAAAGTAAAGGTTCCCTTGCTCGAAAGCCAGTCGAGTCCGACTCTAGGGTTGCAGTGCTCATCTCCGTTTCAAAGTCGAAGAGCCAGTGCTGTCCGAAGACGTTTCCGTGGTTATGTGGCCGGCATGACTAAACACCAAGGTGCACGGAACACTGTTCCCTTCCCACCGAAGTGGTACCTATTTATCTACTTGCAATTTCTTGCTTTCAAACTGCTAGGTTGGCAGGAGCTGGAACTAGAGACGGGAGCGGGTCTCGAACTGCTGAACTACCGACCTTCCACAGCCTGCAGTTCAGCTTCTTAACCACTTGAGCTTGTGGCTAATAGCCACTGATGGACCTCTGCTCCAGATGTTTCTCCAATCCCCTTAAAGCTGTCTGTGCTTGTAACCACCACCACTTCCTGTGGCAGTGGATTTGATGTGTTAATGAGTATTTAGGTGAAGAAGGACTTCCTTTTATCTGTTCTAAGCCTACTGCTCCTTAATTTCAGTGAGTGCTTTTTTCTAGTCCATGCATAATTGTGGAAACCATTCGTAACATCTGTATTTTGCCCTTCCCCCAAGGGACCATGGACAGTGTGTGTAGGGGTTGTTCTACTTTTTTCCTCACAACAACCCTGTGAGGTGTGTTAGGTCAAGACTTAACCAAAGACACCCAATAAGGACACCAGGAACCAAACTGAGAGCCAGTCTGGTGCACTGTTCCCTCTAAGCTGAGTGAGTGTGAGCTAGCTCACAGTTTTTTAGCCTCACTCACACATTTTTGTATTAGCTCAGGAGAGGTGGCTCCAGAGCATACTGATTTATGCAGTAGTCAAATTGCTTGCTCACAACTTTAATTCCAGTAGCTCACAAAGCAGAAGTTTTGCTCACAAGACTCCCCAGTTTAGAGGGAACATTGGTCTGGTGTAGTGGGTAAGGATCGTGGGCTCTAATCAGGGAGAACTGGGTTTGATTCCTCACTCCTCCACATGCAGCTGCTGCTGTGACCTTGGGTCAGTTACAAGTTCTTTCAGAGCTGTTCTCTTGCCAGCAGTTCTCAAAAGAGCTCTCTCAGCCCCACCTACCTCACAGGTGTCTGTTGTGGGGAGGGGAAGGGAAAGGAGATTGTCAGCCGCTCTGAGAGTCCTTCAGGTAGTGAAGGGCGGGGTATAATTCCAATTTCTTCTCTCTCTTCTCTCCTGCTGGCTAGTCCCACAGGTCCAGTTTAGAGTTTGTTAAGGCAAGATCCTTCATGAATCAATTCACGGAGCTTCTTTAGGGTTGCTAACCTCCAGGCGATGCCTGGAGATCTCCTGGAATTACAACTTCTCACCAGACCACATTTCCCCTGGAGAAAATGGTAGCTTTGGAGGGTGGACTATACAGCATTGTGCCCACCTGAGGTCAGTGTTCCCTCTAAGCTGAGTTAGTGTGAGCTAGCTGAGTTTGTTAGCCTCCGGCTCACACATTTTTTGTCTGAGCTCAGGAAGGAGGGCTCCAGAGCAGACTAATTTATGCAGCAGCCAAACTGCTCGCTCCCAGCTTTAATGCCAGTGGCTCACAAAGTAGACTTTTTGCTCACAAGACTCCACAGCTTAGAGGGAGCACTGCCTGAGGTCCCTCCCTCCTGAAACCCAGCCTTCCCTTGGCTGCACCCCCAAATCTCCAGGAATCCCCCCAAACTGGAGTTGGCAACCCTAGGCTTCATGGAACGGTACATTCCCTGTCTCCTTTATTCCCACAGAGCAGTGCAAAGGCCGAGACGCGAATGGCGACGGACTGGTCTACATGACGCAAAAGGAGGTGAGGGAAAGGGAAACAGGTAGATCCGAACACAGGGGTCTCCAACCTTTTTGAACCACTTGGAATTCTGACACGGCCCGGTGGGCGCAGCCACAAAATGGCTGCTGCAGGAGGCAGGACCGGCCACAAAATGGCCGCCGCAGCTTAGCTTCAGTCACACATGTTGGGGACAGCGTTCCCTCTAAGCTGAGTTAGTGTGAGCTTGCCCACAGTTTTTTAGCCTCTGGCTCACACATTTTTGTCTTAGCTCATGAAGGAGGGCTCCAGAGTAACCTAATTTATGCAGTAGCCCAGTCGCTCGCTCACAACTTTGATGCCAGTCGCTCACAAAGTGGAATTTTTGCTCACAAGACTCCTTGGCTCAGAGGGAACATTGGTTGGGGACCCCTGTTCTAACAACGAATTGCCCAGTGACCGCACCCTTGTTCTACCAATGCAGAAGAAATAATGATAGACTGTCCCTCACCCCACCTCTTTTTCTGCGTTCTCCCACAGTGGGGAAGGAAGACAGGACGGGGAAAGTGCGAAGTCCTGTTGTGTTGTAACTTACCATTAGCCCTGCCTGAAATTACGACTCCTTCTCCCTCACACTGCGAGTATTTCTGTAGTTACGGTCCTGTATTCTGACATTACTTCTAAAAAGAGGCTGGGGTGGGGAGTAGGGTTGCCAAGTCAATTTTTCTTACCGGCGGGGGAGCCTCACCGGGCTCCAGGAGCCGTCCATCGATGTGTGCGTGCACGCCGCCAGCACGTCACCGGAAGTGACGCGCGACGTCGATCACGTTGAAGGCGTTGGCCCCAATCGTTGGAGGGAAAACCATAGAGTTTTCCGTTCGATGATCGGGGTCACACCCCCAACGTGATTGACGTGGTTGCGTCACCTCAGGTGACGCAGCCACGCTGCGCTTCGGGGGGTGGAGTTCCCCCCGGGGCCCAATTCCGCGGCGGGGGGAATCGGGCCTCCGAAGTGGGGGTTTACCTACCCCCCACTTGGCAGCCCTAGTGGGGAGGGAGAAGAGAAAGGTCCACCAGTCTACATTGTAATATTAATTTAAGCACAGTCCAAATGAAATCAGATGAACTTGGGGAGGAGGCTTCTCAGCCTGCCCTTCCCTCCCCCCCTTCTCACCTCAGAGGACAGCTGAAAGCTTGCTGGTGTGCATGGAGATGCAGTTTTGCACACACCACTAACTACTAAAGAAAACAAGGAGCAAAAACAGAACAGAGTGATCAGACTTTCCAACCGAGTTGAGCTCATGCCAGGGGAGTTCAGACCTCCAGAAATAGTCAGATTATAAATGTAGAGGCACAAGTGCAGAGATAAGTTTATATTTGTAAAGTTAGGTTACACCAGCAGACAATTTGAAGATACGCATGTGAGAGATGTGGGCGTGTACTGTGGGTCTCTGTCAATCTTATCTGTGTGAGACAACTTGAAGTCTGATTGGCCGTCGCGTCTGTCTTGGTTGTACACTGAGATTCTGAGAGTGACCGTTATTTTGCTACTCGCTGTCAGTTGGGTTTTTTTCTGAGAGTTTAACTGAAATAGCTCTATGTTGGTCTGTTGAAAATAACTCTAGATATATACAAACTGTTGTGTAATTATTCACCAGTAAACAGTTAGATAAACACCATTTAAACTTGACCGTGTTTGGTGTGGTTCTTTTGAGTCTTCCACAAAACAAAGAAACATTAACAAATGTTTTTAACACTCCCATCTATGGAGGCCCAGGTCACAATAGTTGCCAGATCGGCCTTTTACCATCTTCGGCTGGTCAGGCAACAAGTTTCCTATCTCTCCTCCTGCAATTTGACCACAGTGATCCATGCCATGGTCACCTCCGGGATGGATTACTGTAACTCGCTCTATGCAGGGCGACTCTTGAACCTGACCCGGAAGTTGCAGCTGGTACAAAATGCAGTGGCACACCTCCTGACCAATGCTCCCTCTAAGCTGTGGAATCTTGTGAACAAAAATTCTACTTTATGAGCTACTGGCATTAAAGCTGTGAGCGAACAATTTGGCTACTGCATAAATTGGTTTGCCCAGGAGCCCTCCTTCCTGAGCTAAGACAAAAATGTATGAGCCGGAGGCTAAAAAACTGTGAGCTAGCTCACACTAACTCAGCTTAGAGGGAACACTGCGAGTCCTGACTGGGACGTCAGTGTGGGCGCATTCCGCCAGTGCTGCCCCAACTGCATTGCCTTCCAATTGAGTGCCAGATCAGGTCCGGGGTTATGGTATTAACCTTTAAGGTCTATGCGGTCAGGGACAGACATATCTGCAGGACCGCCTCTCCCCATAATGTCCCCCGGAGAGCTTTGCGCTCATCAGGACAACATCTTCTGGTAGTCCCTGGCCCCAAAGACATCCGTCTAGCCTCGACCAGAGCCAGAGCTTTTTCTGCTCTGGCTCTGGCGAACAGGCTTCCAAATGAGATCAGGGCTGTGGTGTATTCAATCCGACCAAAGTATGTATGTGAACTCTGTCATTGAAACACCATGTGAAGCTTTCATCCTGGGCTAGGATCCTAATCCCTCACTTGTAATTGGTAGCCCAGGAAGAACCGACCAATCACCAACAGCCAGTTCCAAGAGCGGGAACTATTGTGATTCGACCTTATCCCTGCAACCTCATAGGCTGAGATTGTATAGTAGGGCGTGGCTACATTGGCCGGGAGAGTTTAAAAGTAGAACGGCTTCAATGTAAAAGCTGTTCTGGCTATTCATGTTGACCCTGTTTGGACTTGAGTTACGAGTTGCTGAATAAAGCTGGTCTTTTGCTGAAATCACTCTCTGGCTCTTTGTTAAGTAACCGACTTAACAAGGGCCCTGCAGGATCTATTACAATTCCGCAGGGCTTGTAAAACGGAGCTGTTCCACCGGGCCTTTGGTTGAGGTGGTAGATTTCTGGTTACACCGGCCTCCCCTCCCCTAACCCACCTGCTCAGTCTCCGGCCTTTCATGCTCATTTACATCACACTCCCTGGATGCTGTTGACTCTGTTAAATTTTAGCTTGCCGTCGCTGCAAGAATTTGTCGGTTGGTTTTAATTTTGAACTATACAGAGACTGTTTTTATCTGGTTTCACCTGTTTCTTCAATCTACTGTAACCCGCCCTGAGCCTGTTTGCAGGGAAGGGCAGGGTTGAGATCTCAAGGTATACATCAATAAATATTTATTTTTTCTTTTCTGCTTTTCAGTGGATGGGACTCATCGCCTTCCCCCGATCCAGAAGAGGTGACCTACTCTACGAACAACAGATATAGTATTGCAGGAGGCCTAACCGATATGAAAATATCTGAATCCAGAAAAAAACCCCACATTCTGAAGTGAGAATAAAATCGGCAGTCTAGAAAAATAGCTATAATCTTTCATTCTTTCTTGTAGCATGTGATTAAACAAAAACCCTCTGTTGACTCAGGAAGAAGAAGAAGAAGAGGAGGAGGAGGAGGAGAAGGAGGAGGAGATTGGATTTATACCCCACCCTTCACTACCAAAGGAGTCTCAGAGCGGCTTACAAACTCCTTTCCCTTCCCCTCCCCACAACAGACACCCCGTGAGGTAGGTGGGGCTGAGAGAGCTCTTGACAGAAACTGCTCTTTTTCAAGGACAGCTCTTATCAGAACTACGGCTTGCCCAAGGTCATCCAGCCAGGTGCAAGTGGAGGAGTGGGGGAATGAAAACCGGTTCTCACAGATTAGAGTCCGCGCACTAAACCACAACACCAAACTGGTACACCTTTTATACAGGAACATCTACAATACATTCTACTTGGAGATCGAAGATACAGTTTTATGACTCTTCCCCCTCCCCCTGCAAAATGGTTTCTATCCCAACAGTTTGAGGCCCCTGAGCGCAATCCTAAGAACTCTCCCTGGGAGTAAGTCCCTCTGTATAACATGTGACTTACTTCTGAGTAGACCGGCTTAGACTTGCTCCCTGTGTCTCCCACCTTGAATGGTTCACAAGTTCCCCTGCCCGAGGTTCTACCAACTCACATTGTGTTATATAAGGGCTGCCTCTGGAATCTTGTAAAATTCAAGCAAGAATTCATCATAGTGAGTTCCTTCCAAGAAGCCCTCAACCCCTATAGTATTGCTATGTTTGGTTAATATAGGCTGCGGTCACACAGAGCATTAGCCACACTACAGAGACGGAAGATAGGCGGATTTTCCAGGCGCGATCACAGCGCCACATCTGGGAAGCGTAGAGCTCCCGTGGCTCGCCCGAGGCTTCCCACCGAAGATGCGGGGTAAAAAACTAGTACCTCCAAAGGTACTAGTTTCTGGAAACCGCGGGGCAAGGGCAGGCGTCTGATCACGTTTCCGGTGGCATCCGGCGCCCGCCATGTCCCGTCGTGAAAAGGATTTTCTCCCCCCAAGTCTCCACGGGATGCGCACAAGCACCCAACGGAGCATGCGAACACTTGGGTTAAAAAAAAACAAAAACACAACCCCGCCGATCCGCTTCTTTGCCGCGCCGCAGGAGTGACGTATGATCGGCACCACCCCTCCAACCACGGGACGTTGGGTGGGACGTTTGATTCCGCTGCCGTGCGGTAGTTCACTCCAGGGCAAACAGCCACGCCTCCCCCCGCAATATCCGGCCCGTGTGACCGGGGCCATAGCAGAGTTTTGAGCAGTCGTACGCATGATCCTAAGTGCAGTAAATAAATCTTCCAAGAAGTCTATTGCAAACATGGTAAGCTTACATTTATCCAAGGAAGATCCAGTTCACGTTCAGATTGCGGTCAAAAGAAGAGAAAGAAACCTAATCTGTAAGGTACGTTCCCACCTTGTCCGGCATCATATGTGTGGGAGTATGAGGGCATTGTATCTACAGGAGGGACCAGTAGAGATGCCTGTCTCCATGGAAGGCTATGTGAAGAAAAGGAGAGGACAAAGGGAGAGGAGAGGGTCAGAGGGCAGTTCCCAGGTGAAGACAGAGGCATCCCATTCAAGGAGAAAACACCTAAACACACTTAGAGTGATGTAGCATCCTCCAATGTCCAATGTCCTGATTCGCTCACTCCAACATATTTGTAAAGCAAGATTTCTTTTACATTTAAAGCCAAAGTGAGTGCTGTCCTAACTTTAGGTGCAGACTATAAGGATGGCTAAAGCTTTGAACATTGATTATAAGTCTGTCGATGCCAAATCTGACGACCCTATTATGGATATTTTGTGTAGCCCTGATTCTGGTGCAGTTGCTTTACCTTTTATAAAAGGAATACAGGATGTAGCCTTTGGGGTCTGGGATGAGCCAGCTTCGGCAGCTGCTTCCTCAAGGAAGCTTGAGAATCTATACAAACTAAAAGAAGACACCTACCCTTATCTGTTTGAGCATCCTAAAGCAAACTCTATGGTTGTAGCTGTCCTCCCAGCCAGGGGGCATTCTGGCTCCTGCTCTGCCCCTATGGAAAAGGAGGGGAGAAAATTAGATTTCATGGGTCGAAGAGTGCAGGGCAATTTTTGGTCAGGAACGGAGTTCCGGCTGGCTCCCGAGTTGGCCAGGAGCTCATTAGCATAATAGGCCACACCCAACAGCAGAAACGCATTAGGATTGGCTACATTCGGGGTGTGTGGCCTAACATGCAAAGGAGTTCCTGCTACAAAAAACGCCCTGGGTTTTGACAACAAACAAGGTAAACAGAATAACAAGCAAAAGGTGGGTGTGGCTGGATGACCACACTTCTGGTAACATGGGGGTGCGGCCTAATGTGCTAATGAGCTGTGCTGTCAGGGGTGTGGCCTAACAGGCTAATGGGTTTATGCGGTTGGGTGTGGCCTATTATGCTAATGAGTTCCTGCTGGGCTTTTTCTAATAAAAGAGCCCTGGCTGTAGTTTGGATGACCACACTTCTGGTAACATGGGGGTGCGGCCTAATGTGCTAATGAGCTGTACTGTCAGGGGTGTGGCCTAATGTGCTAATGAGTTTCTGCTGTTGGGTGTGGCCTATTATGCTAATGAGTTCCTGCTGGGCTTTTTCTACAAAAAGAGCCCTGGAAGAGTGTATGCTTTGGGGTCCATGGGCCTTAGAGTATCCACGTTTGCAGCAGTCATGGCTAGGTACCAAGTAGTGCTACGGGGCAAATTGGCTCCGATTCTCAACTCTTTAACATATGACAGGCAGCCCTTGGCATATGCCCTTGTACAGGAGGGCACGAAGACGGGAAGACGGGAAAACAACAGCTTAATGCTGCTAGACATTCGGCTGATTTATATTTATTTATTTATTGTTTAATATTTATATCCCGCCTTTCCAGATATCTGGCTCAAGGCTGCTAACAACTTTCAAAC